GGTTTTGCAATGACCACAGGGTACAACTGATTATCTAAAGAATGGGATGGGAAAGACAGGTTTGCAATGATCATGGGAAATTATCTGTATCTTCCATTTCCCCAGGGAGCATTAGATCCCCATCCCCTGAAGCTTCCTGTGTGCTTATTTATCTAAATTGGGGGATACTTTGTACCTGGCTACTTATGTTAATGGCCGTGCCTCCTTCCTGAGTTGGAACATCCCTACTGATTAAACTTAAAAGGAATTTTTAATTGCAAGGGAAGAGGCTGTTACCTTTTTTATTTTTAACAAACTAAATCTAAAATTATATTTATTGTATTTTGATCATCAGCAGGCTAACTCTTTCAACCCCTCAGAAGTACCCCACTCCACGAGCCAGCCTCCTGCCCCAAAGTCCGCAGCTTTCCCTGCTCTGTGGACGGAGAATTTCACCACTCTGCCTCGTGTTCTGACTCCTGGTTCTGTTGCTGTTCTCCTGTCACTCCTCTGGTGTGAAGTCTATCTTCCTGGAACAAGGGTATCCCTGTGCAGTGTGCTCAGGCCCAGAGCATACCCTCTATTCCAGGCTCCTGCTGGCAGTGAGATTCATGTTCCCACTTCTGAGATGGGTGGTTTTATAACCAGCAGGATGGCAATCATAATAAATCCTTATAACAAGCACTCATGGTTGAATCCTATCAGTATCTTTCCCCACCTTCCCAGGCCCATCAGAAAAAGGTCATTTGGTGGGAGTTAGAGAGACTATGGCTAGAAGAGCCACATTAAGTAGTTCACGGCCCGGAACTTGTGAAGATTGTGATGGACCAGGCATTTTGTTCAGTTAAGTGAGTTGAGCAGACTCACAGCATCTGAATTCTCGTACTCTCGGTTAAGATATGCCAAACTTACATAAGATGTCAGTAATTGAGCACATGTGAATAGTTGTGTACTTGATCTTCAGGTGGTCAATCAAGAAGGGTATTAAAGAATGTGATTTTTGATGTAGTATGGATGAAGAAATTCTGTAACGATTTTAGACGTAATATAGGATTGAGCAAACGGGTGATTTTGTCATTGGGAACCAAGATTCTCACTAAAGAAGAAAAGGTATACAAGGATGGAATGGCAAGTCATTCCATACACGGCAAATGAGAACCCTGTGAGATTGAGTTGGAATTAGAGCTTTTGGTGTGATCTCATGATTTCTAAAACATGTAGCTTGTATCTCTGTGTGTGCATGTTTGTTTGTTTATTTGCTCTACTATCTGAAAGGGCCAAAAGGTAACAATGAGCTCACCAATGAACCATGGAGAAATTACTGCTCCCAAGGCTAGAGAGAGTAGATGTGGGGTAAGCCTGGAACATCTGGTTAGGCCAGGGAAAGGAAAAATGCATTCCCCACAACCCCCACTGAAAAAACAACAAATAAGCAGATGATCCATGCCACAGAGGCACCATTTCCAGCTTAAAGGAATTCTTCTCACTCAGGGGCAATTTGAGCACAGTAATTATTATAAGCTATTTGTCAAAATAGAAATAACATGCTTTCATACAAATTATAGATTTTTTTTAAAAAATCATTTTACTGGGGACTCTCTTAGCTCTTAAAACAATCCATGTATCAATTGTATCAAGCACACTTGTACATATGTTGCCATCATCATTTTCAAAGCATTTTCTTTCTATTTGAGCCCTTAGTATCAGCTCCTCTTTTTTCCCTTCCCTCCACCACACTCCGACCTTCATGAACCCTTGATAAATTATATATTATTATTGTTACTTTCATATCTTACACCATCCACTATCTCCCTTCCCCCACATTTCTGTTATTCGTCCCGGGGCGGGGGGCAGTGGAGGGAGCTATAGTCAATCATTGTGATTGGTTCCGCCTTTCTTTCCCTTCCTTCTCCACCTTCCCTCTACCCTTATGGTATCGCTACTCCCATTACTGTTGGGCGGGGGAGCTTATCTGTCCTGGATTCCTTGTGTCAAGAGCTCAATCTGTACCAATGTACATACTCTGGGCTACCTGGATTTATAAGATAGAACTGGGTCATGATACTGGGAGAGAGGAAGCACTAAAAAACTAGAGGAATGCTGTATGTTTAGGTCATGCTATACTGCACCCTGGCTGACTTCCCTGGGAGCACTTTAATTGAATTCTGCATGTTCTCATTAGTTAATCTTAGTCATCTAATGCTGCTATAACAGAAACAACACGAACAGAAACTTATTTTCTTAAGGTGTATGAGGCAGCTCAATGGGGACACCTTTTTTGTTCTGTCAGCTCTGGGGGGTAGTCCTTATTCCATGGGTCCTTACTGATCTTCATCTGGCATGGTATCTGTCCAGCTTCCCCCATCACTCTGCTTGTTTGTTAAATCTATTTTATATGAGGATAAGAAATTGATGCCAGGAGCTTTGGTAGTTGTTAATGGGTTACACTTCGCCTTGCTAACCACCAGCAACTCTGAGGGTTCTACTCCCGTCCTTACACGGTTGCAGCCCTGGAAACTCACAAGGGCAGTTCCACCCTGCCCTCTAGGGCCACTGTGAGTCGGAATTGATTTGATGTCCGCTAGGGTTTGGTTTGGTTTCTAAGAGATTGACTCAAAACACACTTTCATAGGAACCCTGTCTCTTTAACGTAACAAAGGCAACCCTTAGCATACCAGTCTTAGAGGTTAGAATGTACATGTTTTTTTCATCATTTTATTGGGAGCTCCTACAGATATAACAATCCATAATTCAGCTGCATCAGGCATAATTGTACAGTTGCTGCCACTATCATTTACAAAACATTTTCTTTTTTCTTGAACTCTTTGATACCAGCTCTCTTTTACCTCCATCCTCCCCTATCCTATGCCCTACCCCCCCCACCCCCAGGAACCCTTATTATTATATTATATTTCTATGTCTACACCATCCATTGTGTCCGTTCACCTACAGTTCTCTTATTATCCATTCCCCTTGAGTGAGGTTATACAGTCATAATTGCTATTGGTTCCTCCGTTCCCCAGCACCCTTCCCTGTCCCTCAGGGAATCATTACTCCCATTACTATTTCTGAAAGGTCTATCGATTTAGCATTTCATGCGTTGAACAATCTAAATTATACAAATGAACATACACAGGTCTCACAAGATGAATGAGGTGAAACTAAGACCATAATAGTAAGGGGAAGAAAAAAAAGAAAAATAAATAAAAAATAAAAATAGTAAGGGGAGGAAATATTTTAAAAACTAGAGGCTATTTATGTGTTTTATCAGTGCTATACTGCATCTTGGATATATCTTCCCTTCCCTGTGGCCCTTCTGTGAGGGACTGTCCAGTTATTTTACAGGTGGGTTTGGGGTTTCCACTTTGTCTGTACTCCTTCACATCAATCTGATTGCATGTTTTTAAATTTCTGATACCTATTCCAGTCGACACCTCGTGATCACACAAGCTGCTGTGCTTCTTTTATATAGACTTAGTTGCTTGTCAGTTAGATGGCTGGCCGCTTGTTTAACTTCAAGCCTTTAAGGCCCCAGACGCTGTATCTTTTAATAGCTGGGCACCATCAGCTTTGACTGACACAATGCAGTACTCCACATCAGTAGTGAAATACTTGTTTTCTGTCCTTTTTTGTAGATGACTGTTTTCATTGATCATATTTGGCAGTAACTCACTTCTATGACATTCACTAATCATTGTGATATGGATTCGGGTAATTGATCATTCTACCACTAAATTCTACTTACAAAAATATTTTTGAAGTTTTGTAACACAAATCCTTCAAATGTTATCCCGGTGATTTTTAAAAGCCCATTCAGTAGATCTTTGCACTTTTGGTATTAGAGAAAATAGAGCTTTATTTTGATACGTTCTTAACTCACAACAAGATCTTGATCTACTGATTTCAATTGTCTCCTTCCACATTGCTGTGATATCAGAAGATCTTTTCCTTTCCCTTTTGTTCCTTTTTGTCCTTCTTAGCTCGTAAGATTAAGCTTCCTTCTGCTTGGTTTCCTGCTTGGATTGCATTGCAGGTCTTACAGGCTTATCTTGAAGGTGGCCACTCATTGAAAAATAAAGGCTATCTTTTATTTCATCTTTGCACAAACATAATCAAAAGACAAAATCCAAAATTACCTTCATAGATCATAGTCCATTGTTAGCTCCACATTGAGGGATATGATGTAATTCAGGAGTACTTTCATAGATCATGTGCAGAAAAACCTTGAGTCTCAACTTGTAAAAGTTAAATATCCTTCTTGAAGTGGGGGAGGTGGGGGGAACCAAAGCTAGGGAGAAGAATGTAAAACAGTAGAAACTGACAGACCCTGTCATCTCACCTCCTCAGAGAGAAGCACAATTAATTGAGAAATTCTTCAAATTGGCAATGTGTCTTAACATTACATGAATTCCATACATTGCATTCTATTTAATAAAAATAAAATCACTCCTGTGCATACTGAAGGGAGCTCTGTTGATGTTGCAGGCTAGCTGTCAGGCTGCTAACTTCACAGTCAGTGGCTCAAACCCACCAGCCAATTCACGGGAGAAAGATAAGGCAGTCTGCTTCCAAAAAGATGGACCTACAGTCCCAGAAACCCGTATGTAGTCACTAGGAATTAGAACAAACTTGATGGCGGACGGCTTATGCAAACTGTTCTGCAACTTTACCAGTGAAGATTTGTTTAAAATAAGATTTTTCACTCATGCAGTATAACTTGTTTGAAGGAAAAACTCGCAGTGACCCTAGACAGAGGGTCATGAGACAGAGTAGAACTGCTCCTGAGGATTTCGGAGCCTGTGAGTCCCTTTCTCCGTGATGGCTGCATTCCTCACCCGTAGAGGACCTAGTGAGCTTAAAACGCCAACCTGGCTGTGAGCAGCCCAACACCAAGGCTTCTCAGTAAAGGTTTTGGAAATGCACCAGTAGGGTTAGAATGGTGAAGAGAATTGGGAAGAAAATCCATTCTTCTTCCCAGCATTCCTGTGTGGACTAATGCTGTGACTGAATGTTTCTTTCAGGGATAGTGGTTGGATTTATCCTGACCATTGCAAATTTCAGCTTTTTTACATCTTTGCTGATGTTTTTCCTTTCTTCTTCGAAACTCACTAAATGGAAGGGAGAAATAAAGAAGCGTATAGATCCTGAATATAAAGAAGGTAAGATGAATTTAATGTGATATTGTTGAAATACTAAGCTTTGTTTCATCCTAAAATGAAAGCATTCATTAAAAAGTGTTGAGACCTTTAAGACATTCATTCTATATGGGAATTACACAGTAGCCCAATGTACTTTATTATTGCACGCATGATAGGTAACAGCAATTTTTAAATTTTGTAATATATATATGGACAATGGAGCTGAACAATTTTATCTCTTGTTTTCCCATCTAAGTCTTCGTTTTTCTTCACTTGTAAAGCATAAGTTCCTATGACTGCAAAATTGCCCTTCTGGTTTTTATGCTCTGTGTGTGCTTGGCTGTTTCCAGGTGGGCAGAGGAACTGGATTCAGGTGTTCTGTAATGGAGCTGTGCCCACAGAACTGGCTCTGCTCTACATGATCGAAAATGGCCCCGGGGAAATCCCAGTTGACTTTTCCAAGCAGTACACTGCTTCCTGGATGTGTCTGTCTCTCCTAGCTGCACTGGCCTGTTCTGCTGGAGACACGTGGGCTTCAGAAGTTGCCACTGTCCTAAGTAAAAGCCCTCCGAGGCTGATAACAACCTGGGAGAAAGTTCCAGTTGGTAAGTTCTGATTTGACTTTCTTTTTTTAAAAAGCCTTCCAGCAACAGGACTGAAGGGACTTGGCGAGAGGAGGAGGCGGGGGAAGGGAGCAGTGAGCAAACAACACTGTAGATAGGGAAGAACTAGAGAATTAAAATCAACAACAAGGGGAACGTGGAGATCCTGGGACTGTTGGAGCAACAGCCATCTAGCTGAGAGGAATTAATAAGAGGCAGCGGAAGGGTGAGCGTGATGGTAGTAAAGGAGGAATGTAGGAGGAAATATCTAGGAAGCGAAGCTATGGATAGAGGTATAAACATAGGTGTGCACTTTTGTAAATACATTTACAAATGTAAATATATTCATAGGTATTGGCCTATGTACATATATTTATATGGTAATAACATTGAGAAGGTGGATTGACTTTGGGCCTCTGCTCAAGCCCTCCCTCAACACAAGAACACTTTGTTCTAATAACCTGGCATTCTGTGATGTTAACCTCCTGGCACAATTGCTGAAGACAAAATGGGTGCATAAGCAAATGTGGTGAAGAAATCTGACGGTGGCTGGTTATCAAAAGATGTAGCCTCTGGGCTCTTAAAAGGCTTGCAGTTAAACAAGCGACCATCTAGCAGAGAAACAACAAACCCGCATGGAAAAAGCATACCAGCCTGTGTGATCATGAGTTGTCGAAGGGATCGGGTAATGAGTATCAGAAGAAACAAACAAAGGAACATATTGTTGAGAACGAGTGGGGTCAGAGCAGTGACCCCAAACCCATCTGTAGACAATGGACCATCATCCCCTCACAGAAGGGTGGCAAGAGTCAACCAGGGTGAAGTATAGCACCAATGAAACACAATATTCCTCTGGTTCCTTGAGGCTTCTTCAACCCCCCACTATCATGACCCCAATCCTGCCTTGCACTACAGGTTAGGCCAGAGCATGTACACAGAGCTCATGGCACACGGAGTCCAGGTAAGATAAACCCCTCAGGAACAGAAATGGGAGTAGTGATACCAGGAGGGCAGGGAGAAGGTGGGGCGAGAAGGAGGAAGAAACTGTGGGGGAAGGAGACAGCAGTCAGTGTAAGATATGAAAATAATAATTTATAATTTATCAAGGGGTCACGAGGAAGGGAGGAGGATAAATGGAGGAGCTAATAAGGGCTCAAATAGAAAGTAAATGTGTAGAGGATAATGATGGCAACATATGTACAAATGTGCTTGATACAATTGATATATGGGTTGTTATAAGCTGTTAGAGCCCCCAGTAAAATGATCTTTTTAAAAAAAGCCTTCATTTCTTGTATGTCTTATTAGATGCATTCTAACATTTTAGTCGATATCCTTAACTGAAAATTCTGAAAGCTATTCAGTTGGTGATAATAATGTTTGCAAGTCCTAGATAAGCAGTACAGGAACAAATAATATAGAGATTGAATGGTGAGCGTATGAAGGGGAAGGGAAAGGAACTGGGCGATTAAATACATCTTGAGGACAGTCATGTGTTGGTGTTTATCATACATCTCCACTCCCATGATTATTATCATTTCTCCTACAGTTACTACTGCTGTCACTACGTCAGCATCAACACCTAACAGTGTAAATACCTACTCTGTGTAAAGCCTTGTTCCAACCGCTTCACATGGAGTAACCTTTAGTAGCCAGATTAATTATATGCTTTGTTTGGGGTTTTTATTGTCAGTATTTCTGTCTTACAGACAAGAAAGTAACAGGCACAGAGGAATGGATAACATAACCGTAGTCACACTCTGTGGCAGTAGAACACAGATCTCAATTCCCAGACATTCTGTTTCTAAACTTTGCTACTGCAGTACGTAGGGTTTCAGACGTTACTGAGGAAAAGACCTTTCTAAACAGACCATGGTCTTTGGATTGTCTTTAAAATAAATAAAAAAATTTTTAAAACCTTCTTTAAATTAGTCTTGAACCTGAAGAGAGCTGGAGTGGCAATCTTGATATCAAAACAATAGACTTTAAATTAAAATCTGTCAGAAACATTTGATTTGGATGTTTTTGTCATTAGGTGTGGAGTCTTTAATAATTACTAGCAACCCTGTGTGCAACAGAACAGAACATTGCTTGGTCCTGTGCCCTCCTCAATTGTAGCTGTGCTTCAGCTCGTTACAGTAGCCCTGGCTCATTCCGTCTCAATGAAGGTCTTTCTCTTTTTCGCGAACCCTTGACTTGACCAAGTATGATGTCTTTTTCCAGAGACTCCTTCCTCCTGACAATAACATATCCAACGTATGGGAGACACAGTCTCCGCGTCGTCACTTCTAAGGAACGTTCCAGCTGTACTTTCTCCAAGGCAGATTGGTCCAGTCTTCTGGCAGTCCAAAATATAGTCACTATTCTTTACCAACACCATGATTTAAATATATCAATTCTTCTCCCATAACCACTATCCAGCTTTCACATGCATATAAGGTGATTGAAAATGCTATGGCCTGAGTCATGCACAGCTTAGTCTTCAAAGTGACGACTTTGCTTTGTAGCATACTTGCCGCAGATTTATTCAGTGTAATACATCATTGGATATACTAACTGCTGCTTCCATGAATATTGGTTGTGGATTCAAAGAAAAGGAAATACTTACAACTTCATTCTTTTCTCTCTGTTTATCATGATGTTTATTTGTCCAGTTGTGAGAAAGGAGATTTGTTTTCCATATGCTGTAATGTTATCCATACTGAAGGCTATAAACTTGGATCTTTATCAATAAGTGCTTCCGGTCCTCTTCATTCCTAGCCAGCATGATTGGCTCATCTGCATCTTTAGGGTTGTTAGTGAGTCTTCCTCCAATTCTGATTCCTCATTCGTCATACAGTTCACTTCACGTGATTCACTCAACATACAGACTGAATAAGTACAGCAATAGGATGCAACTGATGCACATCTTTCCTGATTTTTTTCCCTGATTTTAAACTATATAGCGTCCCTAATATACTTAAAATTCCAATAACAACAATACAAAGACAACTCATTCATAAAATGGGCAAAAGATTTTAATAGTCATTCCACTAAAGAGGACATTCAAATGTCCACCAAACAAATGAAAAGACATTCAGCATTATTAGCCATCAGAGAGGTGAAAATCAAAATCCCACTGAGATTGCAGGGGAGGGGAAAAACATCTGAGAATAACATGTTGAAGATGTGGGGATATTGGAACCCTTATACATAGTTGGGGTGCTAAATGGTCCAGCCTCAACTGAAATTAATGTATTCCTCAAAAAACTGAAATTAGAGCTAATGTGTGACCCATAAATACCACTCATGGGTATATACCCAAAAAACTTAAAAGCAGAAACTCAAGCGACTTAATCACCAGCGTGCATCTCGGTACTGTTCGCAGTCACCCAAAGCTGGATACAACTACAGTTATCCACTGAAGAGTGGATAAGCAGTATGTGGTAGGAGGGGCACGTTGAGCGTGATGGCTGGAGTTTCTGCAGCTGCGGCTCTGGTGGTCAGAGACGTCAGCGCTGGTGCCAGGGCCTCCGCCTCGCTTCCGTGCGGGTGGTGAGCAGAGCGGGTGCCTGTTGAGACTGCTGGCTGGCTGTGCATGAGCCTGTCGTGCATGTAGCTGGTGCAAAGGATGTGGACACCTGGAGTCGACTCACCCCTCTCCCTGTACGTGAACATGACAAGAAGCCCGGGTGGGCTGGTTGCGGCCACAGGCCTGAGAAAGCCACCAGTGGAATGTGTGCAGCAGAGAAGTTCTGTGAATCACTCCAGGCTGTCTTTGTTCAGAGCTACCTTGATCTGATAATAGAGCACAGATAATAGAGCACAGATCTTAAACAACAGCTTCGATAAATCCAGCTGGCTATTTTTCCAGCCTTTGTGTCATCTGTTTTTAGACTTCATGTGTAGAATACCCATCAGTGGGTTGCTAGGAAGATGATCAATGATTGTTTTCTCACCAGATCAATTTCAGAGACTGCTTAAAACTAATGCAGACTGGAAAACCCATAGACGTCCTGATTTAGGAGCTGGTGATGGAGAAGTAATCACAAGTCCTCATTTTGAAAAAGTTATACCGCAGAGCTATCTGAAACTACGATGTGGCAGCTTCAGAAAGAGAAACACAGAATGCTTGCCACAAGTGAATGGCCGAATACAGGGTTCCAGTACAACATCATCAGCTGTCTGAATTTGCTGGACCACTGTGATCAGCCCTTACCTTTGTTAAAAGATGTCAGGAGTGTCTTGGAGCTAACTCGAGGCAGGGTCATCTGTGCCCTGCTCCTGCCCTTTCATACCAATGTGGCAAATGTAGGTGGCAAGTAGGAGAAATCCTCAGATTGTGGAGCTCAAGGGACAGAATTAGGCTGCTCTCCGCATGGTCGGCAGTTCACAACCACCACCAGCTTCAGCAGAAAGACTGGGCTTTCTACTCCTGTAAACAGTTACAGTCTCGAAAACGCACAGCAGGTCACTACGAGTCAGCATGTCACCACTACAGCACTAAAGTTCATAGTGCTACCTCCTTAATGTAGTTGCAACCTTGATATAATCAAGGAAGGTTTCATATGGGTGTGACCTATTCTTAGTATAGATTCACACTTGAAGAAGACGTAGTTTTAGTCTGCTGGCTCTGGTTCCAGCATCTGGCTTGTTAACCCCCAGTTATATTGTCTGCCAATCCCAGGAGCCATTCTCTGCAGCCTGCTGACCCTGGATTCATTCAGTCTGCATCCACCAGACTAGAATTCCTGCTTCCTGTTCATCATCCCCTACAGCAACTCAGATCAGGAGAAGCCTCTAACTCACGTCTGACTATGGACTTGAACCACTTAACCACTGCTAACCGGGAATCATTTCTTGATACATCTCTTTTGATATACATACACATAGAGGGTTACTGCTTTTGCTTCTCAACCTCAAGCCAAAAACATTTCCTGGAGTCTTTAAAAAACTGAACAATAGTTCAGCTAACGAGTAAAACAGGTCTGCCCTTGAGCGTTATGCTTTTCTTTCTTTCCCCCACTTTGGCTGACAATACACTACATTTGTGCCTTATTCTGTAAAATTTAAAATCATTTATACATGGTCTTTGTAAAAGCCTATTTTGTAGAAAACTATATGTAACTGAAAATAAGGTTTTGCATATATTAGATAAACTGCTTAATTGTTAGGTATTATTTTAATTTAATAGGTACGGTACAGGTGCTTCAAAAAGTGATCGTGAGCTATTCAGTGGCTTGATTTTTTTTTTTTTTGCATTTCAGATTCTTTTTTTTTTAAATCATTTTATTAGGGGTTCATAAGACTCTTATCACAGTCCATACATACATCAATTGTGTAAAGCACATTTGTACATTCATTGCCCTCGTCATTCTCAAAACATTTGTTCTCCCCACTGAGAGTTTACCTCTGGAGTTCAGTGATGTAAGTTAGAGAAGCTCTGCTATGGGTAGCCCTTGAGACAGATCTTATTTATTTATTAGAAAAGGCACTCTGAAGAGGATTTTTGCTGTCATGGAAAGTGAACCGAGTTTAGCATGGATCTGGCAGGATCGGTTAGAGAAGCCACACATGGAGCAGTGAGCTTGGTGCTGCAAAGCCCCCTGGGAACTACACTCAGCGTCAAACTTGTACTTTTGACCTGTGCTTGCAGCACGCATTTTAAAAATCTGCGTTATTTGCAGGGGAAGCCTGCAGTACAGACATCAGGGAGAGCTGCTGGATCCTTTGGCTTTTCTGCATAATTTCAGTCTAGACTTGGATGTTGTGGGTGACGGAATGCAGTGCCCCCCTTCACCTTTGCTTTTTGATCCTTCACTGACCCTTGAAGGTCATTCAATTAAAGAAATTGCTGAAGGCACAGTGGATATATTGGGCCAGATGCAGATGGATGTAGATGGATGCAGAGCCCAGGGATCCCGACATTTTGAGCGAACCCTTGCGCGGTTGCCTCACACTGGAATGACTTCTGCAAATGGGAAAGCAGAACCCAGTTGATAGTTTGTTTTGGGAACTGCTTGACTTGCAGAATTTAAAGTTCCCATTTTCAAAAAATATTTCTTTCACTAAACAAGGGTAATTTTCTTTTGCCTCTGGATTATTGCATACTATTGTTATGCCTGGTTTGGGGGGAATGGACCAATACTGACGGAAAGTTATGGGATTAATAAATACTGGGTTGGGCCTAAGGGGAAAAGGACTTCTTTGTAAAGGGATGTTCGCCTCATGGACATGAAAATCTATACAGGTGATTTAGGTGGAAACTGTCCAACTGGTGGCCCAGGATGTTGGTATACTCAGTGTCTGGTTGTCTATCCCATAGCTGGTGTTTAAGCTTTTCTTTACTTGTCACCTAATTGGCCATTGTGAACCCCCTTCGACCTGTGTACGTCACCTGTGTCCTTTGAGAAAATTGCTCATAGAACCGGATCCACATACTTTTGCTTCTAATCTATGTAAATTTCTGTAGTGGTTATGTTACATAATATACAATAAAATGTGTTGTATATAGTTTATATTAAATGTTAAAATATTATTAAAATATAAAATTAAAAAAAAATTTTGTTCTCCACTTAAGCCCCCGGCATAAGGTCCTCATTTTCTTTTCCTCCTTCCCCACTCCTCCCTCCCTCATGAGCACTTGATAATTTATAAATTATTATTTTGTCACATCTTGCCCTGTCCGATGTCTCCGTTCACCCACTTTTCTGTTGTCCGTCCCCCAGGGAGGAGGTCACATATAGTTCCTTGTAATCAGTTCCCCCTTTCCACCCCCATCCTTCCTCCCTCTACCCTCCCAGTATCGCCACTCACACCACTGGTCCTGAAGGGATCATCCGCCCTGGATTCCCTGTATTTCCAGTTCCTAGCTGTGCCAGTGTACATCCTCGGGTCTAGTCAGACTTGCAAGGTAGAATTTGGATCATGATAGTGTGTGTGGGCAGGGGGGGGTGGGGGAAGCATTTAGGAACTAGAGGAAAGCTGTATTTTTCATCGTTGCTACATCGCACCCTGTCAGGTTCGTCTCCTCCCCGAGACCCCACTGCAAGAGGATCTCCAGTGGCCTACTAATGGGCTTTGGATCTCCACTCCGCACTCCCCAAATCATTCATTATGGTAAAATTTTTTGTTCTGATGATCCCTTATACCTGATCCCTTCGACACCTGATGATCGCACAGGCTGGTGTGCTTCTTCCATGTGGGCTTTGTTGCTTCTGAGCTAGATGGCCGCTTGTTTACCTTCATGGCTTGATTTTCTTATGGCACACCCTGACTTGACAAGTGTCAATACTGAGCTGTGGGGGAGGGAGGGGAAAAGGGGAGCTGATACCAAGGGCTCAAACAGAAAGACAATATCTTGAAAACGATGATGGCAACATACATGATAAAATTGATGTATGGATTGTTATGAGAGCTGAAAGAGCCCCCAATAACATGATTTATTAAAATTAAGAAATTTTTAAAGAGATAAATTGTGAAAGAAAACATTGAGCCATGGATGCAAAAAGGTCTAGTAACAACAGTTTAACAAAACAGTGTTTGAGAAACAGGACCAAATAAAGTACTGGGTTTTTTTTACAGATTATTTTCTAAATTCATATTCGATGCACTCCTATTTAGAGAATTTTTCACTTAGTGTAACTGCATGCGTTGTCAGATGTTTTCATGTCAGAGGTTTAAAAGGGGTTGATCAGGTCTTGAAAAGAGAATGTCTTGATTGTTTCCTGCAGTAACAATCCTCTTCCCAACATGCAGTATGAACATTTGTAGCCACTTCTCGAAACCTTTGTTCCAGGTCGACATTTGATGGTGCTGCTTGTAATTATTTTGAGAACTCCTCTTCACTCCTGATACCTCTAAGTGTATTGCATTTCGTATTGAAGGGACTAGTTTCTGCCTTCTCAGCAGCGGGAGAAGAAAATGCTCTTCCATTCACTAAACATGTAACAACTCTCGCTTGCTATTTGGTAGTATCTTGCTCCACCCTAAGTCCTTTAAGTTGTTTCAATGGGCAGATCCTGCTATTAGAGCCACTTTTGCCCTTTGGGCCCTCTGAAGGTCGGGGCCACTACCTACCAGGCCACTTGAGTGGGCACTGTCAGAAGACATTGGGAGGGTACATGGAGGCACCAGGGCAAAGGACTGGTCAGAACACAAGCATTTGCTCTTTTAAGGATTATATGGAATCCAGTTGACAACAGTGACTTGAAAAATTACATAGAGCCCTGGGGGTATAGCGGGAGCATCAAGTATACGTTATGGAGGAGAAACGCCTCAGGAAAAGAGGGTGAGAATGGTCGCACAGCTTGAAGAATATACCAGTGTCAGTAATTTGTACATGTAGAAACTGCCGTGTTGGTGTATGTGTTGGTGGGTTTATTCCCAACAGCACAAGAAGTAAAACCTTAAAAATGTAGGTGCAAAAAAATTCTTGCTTTATGTTTTTGCCACTTGTTAATGGGATGATTTTGTGCCTGTGTCTTTTGCAGGGACCAATGGAGGGGTCACATTAGTGGGCCTTGCCTTCAGTCTCCTTGGTGGCACCTTTGTGGGCATCACGTACTTCCTCACACAGTTGGCTTTTGTAAACGATTTAGACATTTCGGCTCCTCAGTGGCCAATTATTGCATTTGGAGGTCTGGCTGGATTGCTAGGATCAATTCTGGACTCATATTTAGGAGCTACGATGCAGTTTTCTGGTAAGAACGTTGTTGTAACTTACTCGTATATAAAAGAACTGTGGAGTTGGAAAGCAGACATGACAGTGGAAGTAAGCGCAAAGGTAGGATTGCATGGTCATAAAGGATAGAGAAAATCTCTTCTGTAATTTTTATTTTCTAATTCCTTTGTGTTAAATTAATTGAACGAGAAATCATCTGCTGCTCAGTGATTAGAAGCCTTGTGGGGAAGCTATAATTATTCAGGATAAAAGTTGCTTTAGCTTATGGGACTCCTAATCTTGAGAAAGCTGAACAAACTGGCATCAAATCATTTTAATGTACTTCCGTATGTTTCCTTAGTTCACTTAAGAGAGCATTCTTGTATTAGTCTAGGTACTTTGGAGAAACAAATCCACAGCAACTCACGTATAAGAGAGAGTTTTATGTAAAGAAAAGGTGCATCATGAAAACATCCCAACCCAATGCTGCCCAAGCCCACAAGTCCAACATTAACCCATTAACCC